AGCTTCCAAATTAAATAAGTCTTTAGGTAGATCTGACTTCAGATAACCACAGCACACAGTCCAGTCCAGTCTGAAAACGGCACTAGCTCTTGTTAAAACTGTGTGCTAACACCAATGTGCCTTTATTTCCGGCGTCTAACGGCAGTCCTTATCTTGTGACCAGAAACTGAAGTTCCAGAAGAAGAGAACTTATTCTTCCTGTTTGACCTTACTGTGAATGCTGCTGAAGTCTGGTTAAATGGAAAGACCCCTGAGTTGGAAGGTGGGACTGAGGCTGCAGTTGTGCTAGCATTTGTACCAAATGTGAGCACTCCTGATGGATTATTGTTTGTGAAGTTGAAATTTGTAGTGCTGCTGCCACGGTGGAAAGCTGGACTAGAATTAGGAGCTGTTCCAGCACCAAATGCAGACAGACTAGGTTGCTGACCAAACACAGGAAGCTGACTATTGCTTAACACTGTCCCAAAAGTAGGTGGTGCCAGATGAGAACCAGCAGAAAATAATGCTGTGGATGGTGTAGATCCAAATGCAGATAGACTAGGTTGCTGACCAAACACAGGAAGCTGACTACTGCTTAACAATGTCCCAAAAGTAGGTGGTGCTGGCTGAGAACCTGCAGAAAATAATGCTGTGGATGGTGTAGATCCAAAGCCTGAGGGATTAGGATGGCTGGCACCTAGATTTTGTCCAAATGTTAGTATCTGATTAGCACCAAACACTGGACTGGCAGATGGTGCTGAAGGTCCAGTTCCAAACATAAAGGAAGATCCTGTAGAGCTAGATGTGGCTGTAGCTCCAAAGTTGAAACCATAAGCTGCAGTATTATTGCTGCTGGTTCCTGAACCAAAGAAAAATGGCATGACAGCTGTAGCTGTGCTAGATGTAGTTGCTGGTTTGCTAACTTGAGAAAATAGCAAAGACTGAGATGTACTGGATTCAGCAGTGTTACCAAAGGCAGAGTTGCTCACAGGATTGCTGGCCTGTCCAAACAGAAAGGCAGCCACAGGTGGATTGGAGGAAGAGAAAGAACTACCAAATATGCCACCACCAGCAGAAGTTGCTGGTGTATTTGAACTAGAAGAAGTGTTCAAGAAACTAAAAACTGGCTTTGCTGCACCTTGATCAGCTGTAGTATTGGTTTGAGCTTCAAAAGCAAAAGTTACTGGCTATTCAATTTCCATCTCAGATGTTTCTGCCATACCAAAACTAAATGTGGGCTGTGAAGAACTCTCATCCTGTGGTTTGCTTTGAATTCCCAAAGGAAAACACTTGTTCACACATTCGTTCTTCGTTGTCAGCTTTCTTCCCCAAAACTAGGGAAGGAGAAGTGACAGGCTCTTGCTGTTTCTCTTCTGTCCTTTCCAAAACAAACATTGAAGCAGATGGCAGAGAAGCAGCTTCCATACTGCCAAAAGTGAACCCTCCTTTGGTGGCAGGCATTTCTTCTTTTTTTGTTTCTGATGTCTTACATGTGAAAGAAGCCACTGAAACACTCGTGGTTTCTATGGTTCCAAAGTTGAGACTGTTGTTGTTCTCAGAGGTCACGATGGCATTAGTAATAACAAGGGTGGGGTTGGTAATACCTGTACCAAAGCTAAAGCCTGAAGGGGAAAATTTAGACAGTTCCTCTTTCTTTTCTTGTTGCCCAAGATTAGACACCCCACATTGAAATGGAGTTAAAGAAACTGGGTTGCCTACACCAGAAGAAAGTCCAAACTTAAAATTATTGTCATTCTTACTGTCTTTTTTAACTTTTTCAGATTTAGAGTCTGATGAAACTCCAAATTTAAAATATCCTACTGGTTTACAAAATGTAAAGCCTTCACTCATGGGGTTTATAGACCCAGAATCAGATGGCACACCTGTTTTAAATCCTCCCTGATCTCCAAATTTCAAACTTCCAGTGCATGCTGAAGTCTGAGAAGACCCAGAAGAGAATGATGGGATATCAAATTTGAAGGATGAGGCTGCTGAGTTTGAAGATGAGGAAGATGTGCAAAAGCCTTTAAATTCGGATTTTGTGCCTGGCTTTGCATTTTCACATGCTACACATTTGGTAGAATCTGCTTTATTCGACACTAGGCACACTTCACAGTCCCAGCTTCCCTCAGGTTTCTTGAACTTGTCTAATCCTAGACAGCTCCCGGATGATAGAGAGACAGGTACAGTGCTGCCTCTTGAAGTAGGTACTGAATTTCCTGGTTTCTCTGACATACAGGACACACATTTATTGTCTTCTGCATTATTAGAAACACAGCATACTGAACATTCCCATGATCCCACAGGCCTTTTGAATTTATCTCCAAATCCTAAGGTACCAGTGGTCACAGTGCAGCTGGAAGATGAAGCAGTTATAGTCTCAGCACTTTCGGAAACTACTCTCAAAGTTAGGGCTCGCCTCACACCAATTCCAGGTTTCAGTGTTTCACAGGCTACACATTTTATCACTTCAGGTTTATTTTGCACTAAGCAGGTATCACAATCCCAAGTTCCTAGGACTGGATTACATTTGTCTCCAAAGCCTATCTCTGATGCAAAAGAGCTGCTTTGCCACTTTTACTTGGTGTCCCAATTCCAGTCTGTTTAGCAGCATCTCTTGGTGGCATTTTTGCTGTTTGGCAGGCTATGCACTTATTGTCTATAACTTTGTTCTGCAGTAGACATGTATCACATTGCCATGAGGATTCAGCTTTTAATCTTTCCCCAAATTCAATTCCACTAGAAGAAAAGCAACTTGCTGCAGGTCTTGCATAAATTACCGGGCTTGTTGTGGTAGGCTGAGCAGCAAGAGAGTCTGCCTTTGGTGATGAAAAGCCAGGGTTTTTCAGAACATCCAGAACACTTCCTTCTTTCAGGGTTTTTGCAGGTCTAAAAGGGCCCTCACAATCTTCATCTATCATCCTTTTGCAACTTGTGCTATTCATTGCAGTCACAGCTTGAGCTGAACTACTTATAGTTGGTTCTAAAGTACGACTAGAGTCAGAAAGTTCTGCTGTTTTTGCAATTGGCACACTAAATGTAAATCCCATAGATGATGGAGATGACAGAGGTAGTATGTATGCCTCAGTAGATTTTACAATTGGAGGTGAAAATGTAAACACAGGACTGCCAGTGCTGCTTGGGGGGTCATTTGTACCTCGTTTGTTAATGACTGAGGTGGGTTCATAGGTGATGGAGAGGAAGCTGTGATCACAGGGGAACTAAGATTGAATGTAGACAGTGAAGAACTAGAGATTGGTAGAGAGATTTTCAGTAAGCTGGTACTTCCATTTCCTCTTTCTCTGAAGGTTTAGAAGCAACAGAGGGTGTTCTCTCTCGTCTTATCTTGCCACCTCCACGACCTCCTCCAGAAAATGAACCATTGTTGCAGGCAAACTGAAAGTTGTGCATGAAAAGCCACTTTCTCATTCTCTGTTTTGTCCTGGTGTCATATTTTTTTCATATTCAGTACTGTGCTTTTGATCTATTCTTTGATTAATCTTCCTTAATTCACCAGATGGGGTCAGAGATGGCTTAAAATAAATAATTCAATTTGTTGCTATGGAAACTGACTTTGGGGTCATGAGTCTCTGAACAGAGGGATACTGAGATTCCACCTTTGTTCTTTTGGCCTGAATATCTGTAATATCTATTCCAGTCCTATCGAGAGGAGAATTCAAAGAAACAACAGATGGAATTCTTTTGGCATCCGCTAAGGGGCTTGACATCTTCTCTAAAGCCTGCAATATGCGCCGAGCTGTTGAACTATAAGACTGTGCACTGAGTTGCTTAGCTTTCATTTGTCTTCTGACTGGTGCCTGATAAGGCGTATTTCGGAGTTCAGGCTGTCTTACAGCAGCTGCTGCCCCACCATACCTTGTTTTTCCAGAATAAAATGGAGAATCTCCAAGCTGACTACTTTTAAGGACTGAAGACTTCTCAAGTGAAGGGGAAAGAGTTCCAAAGGCAGACAAGTTGAATACTGGCTTTTCTGAGCTGGTGGCAGTGTGCTGTGAGAGGAAATGAGATCGTTCAGCTTCTGGTGACCAGAGAGGTGGCAATGATGTGTTCTTTGAAACAGTGATATCTTTATCAGAAACTCTTGAACAAAAGCCACTGGTAGTTCAGATGTTATCATCATCGTGCTGAGAGGTAGAAGCTTTCATTTCTTTTACGAGGGAAATTCCTGAACTGCCAATTGGGAATCCCGAGGATGTGGAAGGCTGAGTGTGTAATGCAGAGAATTCCAACATGGAGAAATTCAGATGGCTCCGGTGAAGAGAAGGCCTTGTTGATACATCTAGGTAATTTGAAGCAGTACTGGTTGTTGAAGGTCCTTCTGTATTACTGGCTGCTGGCTCAGGAGCGATTCTCCCACCGTTGGCATTAGAGTCCTCTTCCTCAGCACGTAGCAGATGGTCTTCTCTATTTTCTGGCCAGCCTGGAACCTCACGTGTGTCCGCTGAGCGGCTGCATGCATCTGCATCCTTGCTGAAGTATCTCTGTAGCCACCCGGGCACAATATTCTTAACAGATTCGGTAACGTTGCTAAGAATACCCCAGTCCTGTGGTCACCCCTGCTGGTAAGGCTGAACTGACCCCTAGTGGCAATGCCACGGCCGGATCTTGCCGCTACTGTCCCCTCGGATTCCTCCGGCTCCCGAGGCCATGGCGGAGCGTTGGCTGCTTCCCGCTCAGGGGTGGTAAGGGGGCGGAGAGGCAGAGGCGGGGCCCTAGAGCACCTCACACCCCGCTCCCCGCACCCGCCCCCC